TGCACGCACGCGCAGAAGTACAAATAATGTGGATGATTTGATGAGTACCAGCACCAAGAAATGAACTTGATACTTTCAGATGGACATCTCAGAGTTCTACCTTTGAACTATTCTAACTTATATGGATTGGACACGTGTCGGGACAAGGGCTCATGAGTTATATGACGCGGAACATGTTTTATCATCCAAGGTTTGGGGACACCTTTGTTTTGCTAGAAAAGGTTGAAAATGAGAAGATATTCTCGGGCTTTAACTAGTCAGACGAACGGGTGGTGCGGTGACGATACTTGAGGGGGTACAAAATGCACAGTCAACGGAATGATGATGATGATGATGAGTGGCCAACAATAGAACAACTACAATCTAGTCTATACTATCCACGACTGGTGAATTCCCAGGGTTCTAACCCGCGGCTATACCCTAATACTAGCAACTATGCCTGGTCCGAAGGGTGCCGCTCAAGAGAAGAAGAATAGGTGGTAGTCTATACTATGAGGACAATCGAGGGTAGGTCCTACCCGGTAGGACGCCATATAGTCAAGCATTAGCTCGGATGAGTTCATGGTAGTCGGGTATCAGAGTCGAATCACGGCGTGTAGTGATTTGTAGTTAGTCAAGTTGATTTTTTCCGGTTGTGTTGTTGCCAATTCAACAATCACGTCGGTGAGTAGATGATATTCTACGCCTTCAGTTCAGCAATGAAAACTTTAATTCCACCAGGTAAGCGAGTCCGTGCGCCAAGATAGTTTCACAGAACCTTCAGTTTTGGCGTTGCACGGTTTTGAGAACGTCCATCTCGACAGCGCGCCGATTTGGGAACTTCAATTCCGTCGACACAGTTAAGAGACTTCGATTTCAATGAAATGGTACCTCCTATTCCGTACGTAGGAACATCAACGTGAACGTGACGGTAGAATATGAGCAGTTTTTAATTATATAGTTGAATGGCATTGAACCCAGAGAAGATCCGGCAGCGATTCGAGAAGGCCGTAGACCTCGTGCAGAAGACCCAAGCTGGTAACGTTGCGTTTGAGAACAACTGTGAGCAGGCGTTCGGAGAGTTCAGAATAGCCACGCTGCACAGCAAGAGGGTGCCTCATCTGCTGGATGATGTCACACTGAAGGATGATGTAATAATAGGAGGTCGAGGAGATCATCAGTTTTGGATTCTCTTCATAACATGTCCTTCGAAGTGTGTGCTAATACGTGGTATTACTTTCATCCCAACTACAACGCACGTATAACCGTCCATTCTCAGCAACTATTGATTTCTATTCTTTATGAATTTGTAACTCTGTGATTGGGGTGGGAAGTGCGCCAGGGGACGCCTCGCACATAAGAACTGTTTTGTTTCTTGCTTCTACAGATATGGGAGTTCCTACTAAAAGTCTCAGAGACTAGATTGCCATACCATCAGCGTGTCGATGAAGTAGTGGATATACTACTGGGCTCACAACCATGGATGGAGGCGTTTGCTAAGAATCCTCAACTAGTGCGGAGCAGAAGTCGACTCCCTGAAGAGGTGCTCTACCCTCCATGTCGTGAGTTCACGTATGTCGGCCTTTCCAGATACGCCCTGCATTCGACAATCGATTACAGGACTTCGTTGAACTCGATGATGTTCGCCAATATCGACTTCTACTCGAGGAGACTACAGAGAATGGACTGCTAGAAATGGCTGTAAAGGCCTTCAACAAGCAGTACTGTGGCACAACTCTATCGATATCAGACGCTGACAAGTATAACTGTGTTGTCCTACCGTCCGCTTCCTACGACAAGGCCGAGGAGCATCTTAAGAAGAGCAAGGACGTCCTTCTGCTGGGAAGGCTCCCAGAGAGCACACTGCAGTTGGAGACTCTGGCCAGGTTCGCAGAAGAGTACCCTAAACCCAAACTGGTGGCCTCGTACCCCGAAGATGCTATCCACTCCTTGCAGCCTATCGCGAATATAAAGTCCCTCTTTATATCCTTCGGACCGACTGTGAGCAAATTGCAAAGCCTGAGGATCATCAAGAAGATCACTGCCAATGGTGCCGTGTCTCAATCCTCTATAGTGGGCTCAGAGGAGGCCAAGACAGTAGCATGTACTCTGTCGAGCGGCGCAGCTGTCTGTGCACGATGGACCCCCTCGAATAAGGATCTATTCTGTAGTGGTGATGCTGTTACTGATAACGCTGTGGTTCCGATACGATTGGTGAAGCAAGACCCTGTGAGCATCCTTACGAGAACGCTGGCTAGGATGTGCGATATGGAAAAGGAGGCAGAGTCATTCAACTGGCAAGCTGAAGCTGCCCTCGCAAAATCGATCGAGAAGGATGTGCCGTTCTTAGTGTGAATGCCCCTATGAATCATAAGCAATGGTTTTTCGCGTTAGCAACTTTCTATTTCTGCAATTGTCTATGTGTTGCGTTCATCAGTTAACTATTGCAACTCGACGCAAGCACACCGTGATAAACGGCACAACTTAGACATGGCCAAGTTGGATCGTCAATCCTCCAGCATGGAGCTCCTCTTTGTATAATCGAGTCCCGCTCTCATGAAGGGCTATCAACTAGAGCGATGACTTTACGGCAGCTTTATTCTTAGTAACAGCTTGAGGTCAGCAGAGCTCCTTCGCAATACTGAAATAGTGCAACATCGCTGAAGGTGTGATCGGTAGCCGTTCTTATCGTCTCACAAAGCAGTGTCTTTGATTTCCAGTCATCCTTGAATCTCCGCTTCATCTGGGATAGGGAAAGGCCGTATCGTATGCACACGGTGCATCTGGATCATCCTCTCCAGGCCCTAATACAGCATATAGGAGATGCATGATATTTTCGAGTATTAGTTCAATAGATGATGATATGTGAGCGCTCGTGAGCACACATATATCTAATAAGATGCTCTTATGAAGTTCGAACAATGTGCCCTCACTGGCCGCGGCTGTGTTGCCGGCGTGTATGGATGTCTTCTTTTTCAGTACGCATACTACTACTCCCATTACCATCGTTTTATCTATCTCCAAGATCTTGGGCCTGTTGTTCCAAGACCTAGGTTCTAGCTTTCCACTTCGAGATTGAGCTAATGATGAGTGGTGATCCATGGCATGGATTCCATGCGAAACGTTTTCTGATGGAATATCTTCAGATGACAATGACACGTATTTTCGCTAGTTGTCACGACTTAACCTCCTAGATGAATTCCGGCCAGAATATTTATGATTGTGTCTACTCCTCTGCGGGACAGCTCACTATCCCCATTATTTCCATCTACATAATTCGAAGCGTGTGCGCTGACGATCTACCTACATCTTAGTTGGATACCACTGCACAGTGAAATACGACGAAGGCATTGGTTATTGGAGTATACGAGATCAGATTAGCACGTCCATCAAGCAGTGTAGATACCAAAAGGTTAGGGCTCGTGAGTTGGTTTTGTAGGAAGAAAATTATGCGCGCCCAACACGATAAGCCTCGAATCGAATTGAAGCAGGACAATGACATTGATGCTTGGTGCTCCTCACTGAGACGCCATTGTTCTACAGTGGGGGCTTGGACTACCAGTTAATGGAAAGATATACGACAAGAAAGCCGACAGCGCGAATACCAACATATGACGAGGACGCTCCGAGAGCTGTACAAATCATTCATTGCACAAACTTCATTGAAGTGGTGGTTTCCTATTCAGATGAGCAATGATTCCACCCCCTACGTAACCCAACACAACTCTCGTGGGAAGTCCCGTAGCCTCAGCGGCCGACTACTCAGCAGCGTTTCCAATCAGTACACGTATTGGTAGTAACCAACATACTGCAACAAGTGGTCGTCATCATCATCACCAACGACACAAGCTTAGTTCCTCTGGGGAGCACCGCGACGAGGAGGGGCCTCACGGACACGACGGTTCTCGGCGGAACGCACACGAACGACACGAGCGTGAATGGCGCAGGAAACGCAGTACACCTAAATAGAATCGAATGATAGCTGCGATAGACAGTAAAGTAGCGATTCCTACCTGCTTGATGAAGAGCTTAGGGAGAGCGTAAGACTGGTAGACAGAAGCCTCACGGATATCCCTCTGGGAAGAGGCATCGACGATGTTCCTCACATTGAAACGCTTGATGGCCTTATCCTGAACAACAACAAGAGCAATACTAATAGGTCCATAAGTAGGTCATTAGGAGTTCGATAACTCCATCCTATATCCCTTTTGCACCACCCTTCCAAGCTTAGGTGCTAGTTATTCCGCCAATATCAGTCGACGACCCCAGCTGAAGTAGTACCTTAGGGACGGCCCTGGCGCAGTTGGAGCACCTCGAGATGCAGGTATGGCCGCGTCCGTGCTTGGAACGTCCGTTATTACGACGCTTAGTAGGCATGCTGAGACTCGATCGGAGGTAGGGGCTGATCTAGGGCCTTTCACCGGCTCGCTGCAGCAACATCGATCATCTGGGCGAGCGAGATTCCGTTATTGTAAAATCCACGCTACCTATGGATAGATCGTATGGGCGAGCGAGTCGTTTGCCTCTGGTCATTCCTTTCAATCCGGTTGCTGTCCGCCCGTCGTTGATTATGTCTTACAACGCTGTAAAGGAGGAACGCTGTCAGACCTTTGGTCGCAAGAAGAACGCTGTTGCCGTCGCCCTTGTCTCTACTGGCAAGGGTATGATCCGTGTCAACGGTATGCCCTTGGATCAGGTAATTATTATTGGACTCGTATCACTTGGGAAACTGTAGCGTTGAAGTGGTCGCTTGTAGTGAATAATGATCATACCACACCTCGAGTACATCATGTTGTTGTGTTATCAGGTGAACCCCCCTACCCTTCGTGTGAAGGCTATGGAGCCCATCCTCCTCCTCGGTGCTGACCACTTCCAGAACATAGACATCCGTGTTCGCGTTCGTGGTGGTGGTTACACTTCCCAGATCTACGCCATCCGTCAGGCCATCGCCAAGGGAATCGTCTCTTACTACCAGAAATGTAATACTCTCCACGGGGTGTCTCACATTGATCTCATTTGTATCTCCTTGCAGACATCGATGAGGTTTCCAAGAACGAGATCCGCGACATCCTGATCGCCTACGACCGTTCCCTCCTCGTTGCCGATCCCCGTCGTTGCGAGCCCAAGAAGTTCGGTGGCCACTCCGCCCGCGCACGCTTCCAGAAGTCCTATCGATAAATGCTCTACTTCTTACGCTGCCTTCACTACTTGTAGTGTTTGCTGTGTAGTAACATTTTCGATGGTGACTGAGACCACTGGTTTGATCGTATCTACGACATTCAACAACAGCAGTTACGGCCGGACATTCTATTATCGTCTTGTGTTAGTAATCACCAATTGGTTCACGTGAGAGAAACCGTCTTAGGAGCGTTCAATGTAAGTGCTGCGGCAAGTTGATAATGAATGTTTGTCAACGAATGTATATTCCTGTTAGCCTGTGCGTATCGCTTTCCCTAACCACAAGAATTACCTTCTAAGCATTATTTATGCGAATATGTTAGTTATGACGAGGTAATAGTCAAGTTATTAATACCGTTATCCATACATATTACTAATGAGTCGAATCATGATGCATTATTATCCATAAAGTAACCCTATTCCACCATATGCAACAGCGGCATTCGAAAACCATCCTCTGTTAAACGCTCTCATGTTTGGATCGTTCCCGAAGAGTCTCTAGCTCGAGATGTGTTGGCCTTACTCTCCTTTGATAATTAGATATACCTCGATAGATATTTCATCACTAGCATCAAGGATGACAGAATGTCCTCCAGTGTGGCTCTGTCCTGCCTCCTACATCACCATTCATCATCCTTATGTGTGGAATGATCTCATTAGTAATATCGCAGTATGAATATCACTATGGGAAGCGATAATTGTAGGCATTCCCTCTTTGACCCATTGCCATCGGGAGGTTCACGCTGACGGTATGGACTTGTACGACTGCGTGCACTAGATGAAAACCGTGGCTCGGACGCTTGATCAGGAAGAGAGATACCCCTCTCATTCGCTGACCGTGATCGTCGTTGAAAAAATACTGGCACTTTCTCATCGACGAGGAAATGTCATGATAATGACAATGTCTAGGTTGGCATTCAAAGGTGGTCTTCCGAATAGTGCGCCTCTGTAAGGTGCTGTGAAACTCCCGAGAGAACACTTCCAGACTCCAACAAATAACTGATTATTATAATGTTTTAGAAGATGCTCATTAACAGAATGCGTGTCTACCTCGCCTTTGGTTATGTTCATCCCTGGTTCTATTCGGCATTTACCAACCCCTAGGTACTGAGGACAACTCAAAACAATCACGGAATGACTATCTTCACGAAATATGACGAAAGCCTATCATTTGCTACTAGTGTAAAGTAGTAGGAAACGAGAAACGAGAGGTAGAGAGGCTGTCCCTTTACAGAGCGTAGAACTCGAAATCACGATCCTTCTTCCGGACATGCTCCTTCCAACCCTTACAATGGACCAATGATCACCACAGAAGCAATAGGAGTATGCTCACCTTTTCAAAGTCCTTTTGAGTCACCACATACCTGTTCCTCCTCACAGCTTGCATACCTAATACAACATTTCAAACAACGACTTTCTAAAAGATCCTTCTACCAGCCTCCTGGCATATTGCTGCTATGTCTGCGGCAGAAATCTTCTCCGGTCGCGACACGAAGTCCTCGAGGTCAACGTCTTCAGAAAGATTCATCTTACCAGTGATGGTTTGAAAAATGAGCCTATCACTCGACGATACACTACAGCATATAAGCCTTAGCCTGTATACCTCCGTTGCCTCCTATCAGGAAGAGGGAACTCTATTTTTCTATCGAGACGACCAGGACGTAGTAAAGCAGGATCAAGAGTATCCGCTCTGTTGGTGGCCATGATCACCTACATCATCATTATGACAACTATTCCGACCCCATACCAGCTAGTCATTACCTTCACAGTAGTGTCTTGGTCAAAGCCATCCATCTGGTTAAGCAACTCCAGTAAGATACGCTGAACCTCCCTATCCGCACCTGAACAGCTATGAGCGCAGCAAGGCGCGATAACGGGCACATACCAGTTTGGGCATCAAAACGCTTGGTGGCGATGGAATCAATCTCATCGATGAAGACAATAGAGGGAGCTTGCTCTCGAGCCAGACGGAATACATCTCTGACCATTCGCGGACCCTCTCCTGAGAATCAATCTTTCGTATAGTAATCGATTCACGGTGAACTTACCTAAGTATTTTTGAACAAATTCTGAACCGACCATCCTGATAAAGGTGGCAGTAGTATGATTAGCGACAGCCTTAGCAAGCATGGTCTTTCCGGTACCTACCAAAAGCTCCTCTCGAGAATACTACCAGCAGCGACTCGCAACACCTACCAGGGGGACCGTACAGCAACACACCACTGGGAGGATCAATACCAATTTGGGCATACCTGCAATATAATTCTTACGCTCACTTACAAATCTTGCATTTCCTCAACGCTTACAAGTCTTTCTGCACTAATGGCAGCTCTACCGCCTCCCTAATCTCCTGTTTCTGTATATCCAAGCCTCCTATATCAGCATAGGTCACATCGGGCTTCTCCGTCATAGCGGCCGACTGCACAGTAGAGTCGGCCTCTGGTGGCAGTATTTCCACAACAGCATGGGAATGCCGATGTAATGCCACCGAGCATCCCGGTTTGAGGTCCTCTCTATTGATCGTGGAGAGGATCCGGACGTAGTCACTAGAGCCCTGCGAGCTCTGTATGATGCCGTGCTCAGCATCGATGATCTCCGAGAATTGGCCGATGACCAAAGGGACCGATCTAACTCGTTGTATCTCCTCTCGTGCTCGAACCATCTCCCTTTTTAAGTTCTTAGTTTCATATTTGATATACCTAACAGCGACCATTAGGACACACCAATACAGAAGTAAAGCTACTCCTCCTGAATATCCAACTGTTCCAACTGCTTCTGCAACTCCTTAAAACGTCTGTATCTGCCACATGGATTACCTATGTATTACGCCATATCCCTCTCATAGGTACATGTCATTATCATTGCCCTTGCTCATAGCCGGCTTACAGTCGACTGCCCCTGTAGCAACCGGTGCCTGGCCGGCTACTACTACCGCTGACATTATAGCTAAATGGCAATGGTAGCTTGACGATACTGTGTTTTGATCACATCGCCCTCACCCCCGAACCCAAAACGTAGCCTTCAGATACCTCAATAGCTCGTGCACGTGCTGCTGTGGTCTGTCGAGACCTAGTGTTAGTTCGGTCATGAAAGGTAACGATATTAATTCATCATGGTATGCCCTCCTTCAATCACGCCTATGCAGTAGAGCGGCAAAGTCCGAATACAGATCATCGTTTCCCTCTCCCTCCTCATCGAAGATCTTCTTCACATCAGCTAGAGTAGCATCAGTACTTTGCTCCTGTGCATTGAGACGCTTGATGCTAGCTAAGAACTTGTTAAAGCACTCATACGACAACCTGAGGCGGGTGCCATACGCTACCATACGAAAGCTCGGCCTTACCTGGACCTAGCCACTTTAAAGAAGCTCTTACCATCGATGCCACTAGGGCGGCCCCCAGCACCACTATCGCCGCTCACATCAGGCATAGCACTCTAAGGGAACACAGATGACCATGGAGGAGAGGACAGACCTCACATCGTGAGACTTCTGTTGCATGCCAATACCCGATATCGACGATGTACTGTTATTGACAGGAGACGTATGAGAAGTTGTGGCACCAGCCTCAAGCATGTTGTTGTTAGAGAAGCCTCCTGGATTGGGGAAACCAAACTGATGATGGTTCTGATTCGAGTTGAAGCTGCCGTACACACTGGCCGAACCCACAGGCTGAGGAGAGACCAAGATCGCCCAGTAACTATACATACCCTACCTACAGTAGTGCACATAGGTGGAGGAGCCGAGGAAGCCGCCATAGGAGCGATGCCCTGACAATAGTGTACCACAGGTCATCAGAAATAAAAGCTCACTTGAAGGAAGCTCTCTCTCCTAAGGAACCTTGTGTCCGCGTAACCACTACCGTCACCATCGTGCATCCTAGATGATTCACTCTGGAAGGAGTCCAAGCCCCCGACTAGAGTCTGCTTAAGACGCTCGAAGTGCTCCAACTGTTGGTTTTGCTGAGATAACGAGAAAATGTTGCACTAATACTCAGAGTAAAGGCAAGCTCACCGCCCTCAGGTTCTGAATGAGGTTCCTATTCTCCTCCTGCAGCTTCTTGCATCTCTCACGAGAGTCAATAAGTTCGACATCCAGCGCATTGGCCCTCTTCATAGTTTGCATATGCTACCGTAATGCAGGTACTACAGGACTAGCAAGGATGTCCAGCCACTTACAGCAGCCTTCTCTTGGTCGAGGCTCAAGCGTAGTGCGCGAACCTCATGCTCCAACGACTGCATCTTAGACCTGAGGTTAGCACTCACCATCGACGTTCACCTATACCCTATCCCCTACATATAGGCATTTTGAATAACCTTGATGCCGACTCCAAGGCACTCGTCAGGAGAGTCTGGCAGCTGGATGTTGCGCTTGGCCGAATGATCACTGTTCATGTGGTAGGTAGTTGCACTAAAGGGATACATACACGGACTCAGCTCCAACTGAACACAGTTGATCGTCATCTGTGAAAATGATCCAGAAAATGGTGTTCACTGCTGCTACCACAACAATCACAATATAAGATAACAAAATCACTCAATTTAACTTCACAGTGACAGCAGCACCATCGAGCCCCGCCTCACGTACAGTAAGGCTAGGCTGAGTTAGTGGCTTAGGGGGAAAGCCAGTGACCAGTGTAAGGGTAGTAGAGTCAGTCGCCCCTACGCATGAGGCTGCGAATGCTACGACATCAAAGACTCTGTGGGAATCCAAATTGAACTTTTGTACCTTTCGCTGACCATCAGGGAAACGGAACTGGATGGTTGCAAGAGGCTTCGCCTGATCCAAGTCCACCGTTGCTCCCGTGTGAGTCTCGACCTTAGGACCAAGACTGCCACCAATCGTTTGACCATGACCAGCAAAAAGACCATTGTCGTCACTAGGACTGGCCTCAGTAGCTGGACCAGTGTAATCCTCATCCTTCTGATTAACCATAACTTGAACCTCACGCATGTTCTGACCAGATGCCACCACTGCTTGCTGAATTTCTAGAGGAGCTATCCCCTGGCGCATATCCTGTAGAGCCTGAGCATTCTCTGGTATGGACGTGTCTCTAAAGGGACCTCCGTTCACTTGGAAACCGTTGCGATAGACAGTGACCACAAAACGGTTGTCAGGAGACCTGTTCTGGCCGGGCTCGGGCGGGTTGAAGACTGCTAGGCCTGACTTCTCCCCTCCTGTGAAGGAACTAGTCGCATTAGGGTCTATGCCACCCTGGTCACCATTGTTGCCCGAGTCGAACAAGCTTCGGATGTTAGACATGTGTCAATGAGAACTGAGATGACATGAGCATTATATACAACCTAACTGTCGACATAAAGCCCTCTGGAGGGAATTACACAGACATCCACTCTCCTTCTAACTCTGAATACCTAGATGCCCAGCGCCCCGTTCACCAACAACAATAACATCAAATACTCATCACAGAGATCTAGTAATACCACACAATAGCATAAACGAACATAGCATAACCTCCTACACCTTCCTACGGGGTCGGTTGAATCGCGTTGAGATTATTGAGGGATAGCTGCATGGTAACGGTCACTGGAGACTATCTGCTCCTTTCTTACCCTGGGCGCGCGCGAGCTTTCTTAGCGGAGCGAAGCTGGGCCCCGGATCGCAAGAACCATTTTGAAAACTGATTGGTTGAGGATTCCCTCCTTTCGTAGAAGCATGGGGAATCAGTCCAGCAAGCTGACTTTGGAGGAGCAGATGCGCGCCAATAAACGCATGATAAACCGGGCCGTTAGGGAGCTCGATCGGGAGAGGATGGGGTTGCAAAGGAATGTACTAGGCTGGAGGACCGGTACGGTAAAGGGTAACTTCGGGTCAACTTTAGGAACAAAAATTAATAACCGATATCAAACAAGCTGCTAAGAAGAATCAGATGGGACCAGTGAAAATCATGGCTAAGGATTTGGTAAATTCGATGGAGTCCTTAAGGGAAGAGCCCAACAGTGCTGGTCAGGTCAGAACTCGTCGATACGAGTCGAAGTTTTTGGAAATGAAGTCGCATCTACAGGGTGTCAGTTTGAGGATGCAGACTGTCAAATCGACAGAGGCAATGGCGAGGAGTATGAAGGGATGCACCCAGGCTATGGTAGTAGTAGTAGTGATGGTGGTGAGAGGGTAGAAGTAGCTTTCAGGCTCGTATGAATAAACAGCTTAATCTACCCCAATTACAGAAGATAATGCAGGAGTTCCAGGATGAGACGGAGAAGATGGGCTTGACTGAAGAGGTAGTAGGAGTAGAGAGACGAGTGGTATTGGTGTAATACCATCATATAGGTTATGGGAGATACCATTGATGATGTCCTTGGTGAGGTTGGTGATGAGGAAGAGGAGGAGGCCATAGTGGGCCAGGTCTTGGAGGAGATTGGTGTTGATATGAATGAGGTCTTGGCTAATGCTCCAGGATCAGCCTTACCTGCTGGTAACATTATGAGGTCTCAGGTTCGATCCTATCATCATGCATTTTTCTGTAGGCCAGAAGACTTCGGTGGGAGTTGGCAAGAAAACTCAGCAACAGGCTGTCGCTGAGGGTGCGGCTGCTGCTACTGGCAAGCCAAATGGTAGTAGGACAGACAATAAGAAAAACAACGGAGGGAATGATGATGGTAGTAATAAGGACTAGGACTTGTAGTTGACCTGTATCTTTAGTAGGATCTCCTCCATCCCCTCCACCACCTCCAGAGAACGACTTGGAAAGTAGACTCAATGCATTAAAGCGATGATAGATGTTTCAAGAGAGGGTATATCTACCGTTTTGTAAAAGAGAGCTGATCCCTACTGTATATCAACTGTCACTATGCTATCTGGAGCCTCATCATTGCCTCGTCGAACCCTCTCCATTGCTTGCCAGTCCCGTTGTGTTACTACTACCATCAAGGCATTACCTCAGCTCTAACATTCTCTTGTATGGATTCCGGTGCAGGAGCTCCTATATCATCACCTGAGCCCTCGTCTCGTGGTGGTGGTGGTAGCGCCGGGGATGTCATAGATCGAGCCTCGGGGATAGCTGCCAACCGACTAGCACGGCATCTTGCAGGTGGTGGTCCCTCTGCTGCTGGTGGGTGTGAGACCTCGCCTTCCACCACCGACCCTCACTATTCATTCTTGGGACCATGCACGCCTTCCTCCCGTGCTGTGGTAAGGCGATGGCGTCCAGTACAATATGGATGTACTTCTGAGAAGGCTATGGAGCTCCCTGGAGATAGATCGGGCGCGGCTAGTGTTGTTTATAATGATGCTTTATACGTACTAGGGGGGTATGGTGGTAGTGGACGTCTGGACGATCTTTTCAAATTCGACTTCAACACCAGGCTTTGGTGAGTGTAGTCGTCGTTATGTGGATTTCTCATTTTGGGACAGGTCTCAAGTGCATACCAAAGGAGATACGCCAACAGGGCGGGAGAATAATGGAGCTGTAGTTATCAAGAACCATATGTAGGGGAGAAAGGCTTTGGAAGGGGAGGCTCGCCAGCACGCCAGCCTGTTAGGTATTTATTTGGCGGTTACTCGGGATATAACTGGCTTAATGATTTTCATTGTTTTAATTTTGATACATCCACTTGGGCGCCAGTTGAAGTGAAAGGTGGGAGTCCGCCCTCTACGAGGTTCGGATATGTCTCCAGCGTGCATGGTTCGGTATTTTTTGTATTTGGTGGTTACGATGGCCAGACTTGGCTAAATGATATGCATGAGTTTGATGTGGAGGAGGGAGTTTGGTCCCAGACCCACGTATTAGGGTATATTCCCACGGGTCGATCGTGCCCGAGTTGGGCCTACCATGAGGGTAGCGTATACCTCTTTGGAGGCTATGATGGAGTGCATCGGATGAATGACTTCCATCGATTTGAGATGTCTAATAGGAAATGGTCGGTAGTGGCTACGAGGAGCTCAGGCCAGCCTCCTTCTCCCCGCTACTTCCATGCTAGCGTAGTGCATGGCAACTCATTGTAAGGGTAGTGTCATGATGATGATATTGGAAGTTGAGCCTTCCACAGGTATCTATTTGGTGGCTATAGTGGACAGGAGAGGCTTAATGATCTCCATGAGTTTAGGTGAGATCTCTCTCTAGGGAGTCGTTATAGTTGTGTTAGATTCGATCTTCAAACGTGGTTTTTGGTCCAGACTGAGAATCCACCATCAGGAAGGAGCTCATTAGTTGCTCAGGTAGGAGTAGGCTATCTCTAGTTTTTACTAGACTGTGAGAGGCATCAGGTACATAACAACTCTTTATATGTATTCGGTGGCTATAACGGATCAATAGTTCTCAATGACTTCCATGAATTCCGGTAAGGGATACTCTCGTTGTTAATGACATTTTGTTCATCGCCAAGTTTAGGTTTGACCCCATTCACGTACCAGCAAGCACCATGGAAGATGACCTCCGACGGTGAGCTCAGCCCTATGCTGGTAATCCTGTAGCTCGTCCTCATCAGGTTGATGACGGCGCCAGAGTTCGCGGATGTGGCGTTCCTTGTGGAGGGTCGTCGACTATTGGCCAACAAGGCCTTGGTAATGAGCATTCCTACCATCAATGAAGTACTTGCTCATTTTAGTTGGCATCGCGTAGTGAGCATTTCTGCGCTATGTTCTACTCTTGTGGGTTGAGAGAGGCGGCAGCTGCTACTGCTGGAAGATCTCATCAAGGTGATGGAGGCTCGGCGTGTGTAGTACAACATGCTCAGACAAACTTATTAGAGGTGACCTCAAGGCTGGCCACTGCCACTTCGAAGAGTTTCATCATCTAGGTTCCGATTACAGACGTCGACTATGAAACTTTCAATTTGCTTTTGGAATACATCTATACCGATAAGGTAATAGCAGCATTCGGAGGCTCGCAGGTGTATCGTTCTAGAGTAGGTCAGTCCAGACCTCAACACAGGACAGGCTTTGTCGTTGCTAATCACTGCTGGAATGTTCTGTATCGACAGGTTGCGGGTAAGTAGGCTTATGCTGGTCCTTAGCCTGTTACTAGTGGTTCAGGCAATATGTGAGGATATAGTACGGCATAATATTACTATACAGAACTGCGTAGGTTGTTGTTGTTACGGAAGAGGAATATGAGTGTTGCTGGCTACCCGTAGGTGGAGGTATTGATAACAGCTCATCATCATAATGCAGATGGTCTTAAAGAGATCTGTCTAGAGTTTTTATTATCCAACGAAGAGGCGTGTAGGTTTGGGATGCTCGGCTAGTGCTTTGTGAAGTCATACGTCAATAATAACGTTGAATTCAATGTCGTCCTCGTTGGTCTCCGCCTCGTAATTTCATTGATGTGGCGAGCGAGATTTGAACCGGAGTTCGGAGACGTCCAGTCGACATCTTAGGGGTTTGCTCCTCGCGAGGATCAAGTCTGAAATCTAATATCTATTGCAGCGTCAATTCTTACTTACATCACGTAAGCATCATTCTGATGGCTTCAAGGACCTTATCGGGGAGCCCCAGTTGATGTAAGTGCTAATGCTACCAGTCAATACCCCTAGTCCTGTCCCTTAGGTATGAGCTCCTGGTACGGAGGAAACCCTCTAGTGTTATCTCCCCTGGTATGGGCTATTCTAACAATGATCCACATCGAGGTAGGCCGCTTCATGATCAGCTCTGCTGCTGTATGGTTGGTGTGCAGGAGGTGGGGGAGGAGGATCCAGCATGAGAGCATCACCATCCACTTGGCGTTGATACACCTATGACCTAGATGACAACATTTTAATAGTCATCTTTGTGATGTACACATTCAACTCTACTACTGTTGGGTTTGTTTACTATAGGCTACCAACGATTGGTAGTTTTTATCGATTTCTCTATGCGTGCGTCGTTGTTCTCCTTCTTCATCGTTGGTATCACATTGGTCGTGGCCTTGAGAGACGGGGAATACTTCTATTCTGATGGCATTAGGGAGGGTTTGCATCTTTCCAAAGCGGGGCACGATGTAGACATCAGTCTTACTCAAAGGGATAGGCATGGACCAAGTTATGCGAAGACGTTTCGTTTAAAGGGGAGACTACAGGGGGAGACTGCAGAGGACGAGTGCTTGACTGATGTGACGTTTATGCAGAATCCTGACAAGTTTCGTGGCGATGTGAAGGCAGAGGGAGCTATATGTTTCAATAGCAGCAACTATGTCATCTTCAATGGTATACAGTTGGATAGCCTCACCAATGCAGTTAAGCTGAGGCCTTGGAGGGTCGGTGCTTTCATCGCCGTTGGCACCTTCAAGGGCTCAGTACCCCAATTCGGTATGACTGTCGTATTCAATGACTTACAGCATGTGGATGCAGTGAGGGAGGGGAGGGTGATTGTGGAGGGGTCTAAGAGGTTTAAAGAGCACAGCGAATATCAAGTTACCTTTCACCAAGACTTAGCTAAACTTAATAGAATTCATATCACAAGTAGCGTGAAAGTAGAGAAAGACAGTCGTTTTGGAGGTAGGAGAGGGAACGCTGTTGGAGACATCATTTGTCGTGATGCGAGATCGACATTTTACTACCGTCACCCGCTGCTCCTCGTGGACATACCTAAGGAGGTGTTCCTGGATGGGCAAGAGAAATGGGGACAGTCGGTGCCGATGAACGGCTTGAGGATCCTACTCATGCGGGAAGATGACGATAAGGCAGATGCGGTAGTGAAATCTAGCATGCTCAAGAGGGGCCGCAAACGCATGTCGAAGAGAGATGTGATGCTGGCTGATGACGAACTCGCGATAGAACTGGACTGACCAGTGTTGAAGGCGACTAAGAATGTGATGATGCAGTGCGATTGTTGATGTTTACTACTTTATAAACTATGCAACGATCTTAGTGTCCATTGTCGTCATGATGATCCATGTACTCGCAATCACGGTTCTGTGTTATCAGTAGTGCAAAGCCGGGCTTTGGAGGATTCTACCAAGGAGAGCGCCCTTAGTCGACTGGGTGACAACTCGTTATGAATTCATCGATGATGCGGAGCGGTTATGGTGAGACAGTGGGCGGCATGGCGTCGTCGTCGGTGGGGCTAGCAGGCTAGGGTATCTCTCTTGTCGTATGCACCCTACACTGCACGTAGTGTAGGTAGCACACCATCTTGCTGTACAACTTCCTTGCCAACTACTTATGGTGGCTCAGAGAGGTTTTATAGTTTAATTATGCTTCATTAATATTTGCATGTACTTAAACATGCGTTTTGTAGAAGATCTGAATCGCGCTATCAACAATACAGTGTATTTGATTCCTAGTAGTAGTAGCCTCCCATAAGTGTATGCCTTCTATCTACTGAACAACATGAACCATGCTGATTCCAATTATATACGAGACCTCCTTCGGAACGATGGTTGTGGTGTTATAGTAGTCGTGCGAGGCCCCTTACGAAGGCCCCCGATCAGATTAGAAAGGATCCTCGTCTACGGCGGCAGTCTTTTTCTTTCCTTATGGCGGAGGAGTACCGAACTAGAAGAGAAATCCTTTCATGGCTTCTACCATTTATTATCATTGCTCTCACGACGACATCATGGCGACTGGCGATTCATCAACAACAATCACTCTCATTGACAAGTAGGCTAACTCTCGTACATCCTACTCAATGCCCCCTTCCTTGGATATGTTGTCGACTCAATGTTCCTCTCAGAAACCCTTCGTGATGAATTGATAGTCCTTGATAAGAGAGAACTTTTCTCCGGAGAGTAAGAAGGGAAGGATCTACGGCCCATGCTCTCGAGTATCCACCAGTTCAGGTGGGCAATCGGAAGTCTTCATCAATGCTCTCCAAGGCCGTTACGTGAGGACTTCTCATCGTGGAATGTGAGTGCCTATGAAGTGCGGCGCTGTCCATCAAAGGACATCAGAGGTAAGCCTCTGGCATTCCGTGCTCGCCGCCGGCTGGAGTTCTAATCCGCTGATCGGGGCCAAGCCTGTCAATGCAATAGTCTATCCAGCTAACAATACTCAGGTGCTGCATACCACTTCGCTCTCGATAATTCAACACACCCGCTGAATAATATATGTGACGAGGATGGACTTTGTAACCTTCCTAATGAGGCTTCCACCAGTTGTTCTATTGACTTCTACGCTTTGGATGAGTACCCGAGAGTACTTCCACATGAAGAAGTAGCATATCCCAATCAGAAGCCTCGCACGAAGATGCATCTCCACGGAAGTCATTTCCAGCTAACTCATGATGCTCTTATAGTTCGCAACTGCTCCGATACTGTCGAATGGACCCTCTTCCATTTGCGACGTGTACCACAAGGCCCGGCTCACAAATCAATATCACGACGTGAAGCGGCTCTCGCCCTTACTGGTGTTTTTGGTGCTGCTTTCCAGCCCGCATCCCATGACGGGCGAGGAGGAGGTGCGTACAGCACAGACCATGTGACATTGATAATTATAGACGCCATCAGCCGAGCTCATTTCATGCGAACATTCCACAAAACTCGAGAGTATGTGGAGACCAAACGAGCTGCTCGGCAGGGCTATGTGATGGGTGGTTTTATCGCGACGGGTAAATTCACCATGCTGGCTATGACATCATTCCAAATTGGTTATTTCAACCCGTTGACGCCTCTCATGGAGTATGCCACTGATGATGGGAGAACTAAAGGACTGGTGAGTGGGTAGAGATGTACGCATATGCGGGGGGATGAACTGTTCCGAGCCTTTACGATGATTTTGATTCCATTTTACCGTTAGGCCCAATACGCGAGGGATGCCGGTATGATATCTGCTGTATGCTCCGGTGTCGAGGGTTACAATCTATTATCCCACAACTGGAAAGACGGACAGCTTGGTCCTCATCACTATTTGAATTCTTTAGAAGATCAAATCACCGGCCTGTCAGAGATACATGAAAGTAAGACTGTGCTCGAGTGTACTGGGGACCTTCGCCAAGAAGAGTATTGCCTCCCTGTGGGGAAGAGCGTGGCCGAGGTCTATGAGACAAGTGAAGGTGTACGCCTCTTCCAAGAACTGTATATGACGGGTAATCATCAAGGCGACCAACTGTATGGTGTTGGTTGGGATGATGATCTCGTGGAGTACCTCAAGTGGCAAGATGACTTCTACAATAAATTGGGTCAACGACATACTACAATCGTTATGAGTGACCACGGCAACCAATGGGCTGGTCATAAAGCCGCAGCCAATGAGAGATACTCTCCTTTGGCCATCATTCTGTCGAATAAGGAGTTCCCTCCTAATGTGCATGATGTCCTCTCATACAATGAGCTTGCTTTAATAACGAGTGTAGACCTCCATAACACTGTCCTGGGTCTCATGGACGAGGACATGCTGCCAGTCAGCTGTAAGTAGCGGGGCATTCACAAGAATGTTCGAGGCTTGATCAGGTCGTCAAGATTCGCCCAATTGCGACGTCTCTATTCGGAATATATTCACGACGAAAGTGCAACACAGAACTCCTCAGCAAATGGGCATACCAACGAAGTAAGCGTGCATCTAATCGCCACGATCATGTGGCTTGCTTGTCATTCTTGTTTTCAGGGCATCCCCTTGCTCTCGAAATTGGGGAGAAGAATCCTCGAGTGTACCTCCCAGCATCATCGAGGGCATCGTCTCCTTCATAAACTCTCAACATTCATCAGGTTCAGCTTGCCTCGATCTCGAAATCTCTCCTGAAT